TTAATACTTATAATGAAGTCTCTATATTTATTTGAATACAGTATGTGTGCTTCTATGTGTACCTTCCACGTCGCAAATCGACCCTGCATCCCTAATTACCTGATTAATAGAATAACGACAAAGCTGAAGATAATCCTTTCGCGAGTCGAGCTAGAATAAATTTGCGGAGTCTTTTCTCATATGATGCAATGCATTCACGAAACTCATCGCCGACAAGGGAGCGGTAGAAAGGAAGAAATTCCGGTGACAGGAAGGAAAGAAGGAAGGAGTAGAAGGTGCGTAGTTTGAATGGCCGCGACAGACAGAGCCGGACAACGCGTGTCAGTCCGTCAGCAAGCCGGCGAGCCGCGAATACCAAGGATGGCCTCCCGGCTTATTCGACGAACAGCTCTATCTGTCGAGCTCGCGTGTACAAAAAGCGGTGGGCCGCGTCGCACGCACGACGAACGGAAAGCACAAGCGACGATGGCGACGACGATGACGGGAAGCTAGTAATCGGAAACGGGAGAAAAACCCCTGGATATCACTGTCGGGTGTCACGGGGTGGCGCGAAGAACGGGAAACACGGGTCGAAGAAGACTAGGACGGTCGGAAAAAATGGCCGCGCGAGATGCATGCACACATGCACGGTGACCGGATTTCGCGAGGGGACGTCGCGTCGCCGCCGCCACCGCCGCCACCGCAGTGAATAATTGAAGGGGGCGAGACGAATCCGGCCGATGCAAGTAGGCGAGAGGCGTGTCGCACGTGAGATTAATTTACCCGGTGATTTTCTGCGCGCGCGATGATTTTCTAATTCTCTACGGTGGTAGTCGGGCGTGAAGGTCGGCCACGAAGGTCGACGCGTGGCAAGCGGACGGACGCTGCTGGCGGAGCGAAAGTAATCGGGCGCGATAAACTCTCTCCTGCCGCCGTCGCCACCGCCGCCACCGCCGCCACCGCCGCCACCGCTATCGGCTCGTCGGCGACGCGCGCCGACGCGAGCTTCGGCGTTAAGTTCACCTGGCGCGGCTTGCTCCAGTTCGCGCAGAGTTTTACGGATCGCCGTGGGCGATTGTATGGGTGTAGCTCTCGGGGCTAGCGGGGATACACTGCCGCCCGCGGGAGTGATTTAGTGACCCAACGATGTGAAGGATAATCGTATGAAATATCGCCGCATCGCAAGCGAGGCCCGCGATCGCGGCATAGTACACACGGTAAATGCCTCGCGCGCGGCATCGTTGACCTCGGGGAATGCGGGGTCCCTCGGTAAGCTTAATGCACGGGAATTTCATACAATATTAAGGAATATTTTTTTCTTACGGACGGAAATACTGAGAGCCGATGCCATTAACTCCGTGAATCGCTTGCATTAATCAAGGCACTGCGCGGAGCAGCGCGGTGCGATACCGTACGCAGAACACAAGCTTTCTGCCAAGTACAGCGCCGGAAAATACTGACGCGCGCAGAATGCCGAAAGATCGTTTGACTAATGTTGCACCGGGGCTCCATTACGGTCGGATGGGCTCGCTTCTATCGCTCGTGGAAACGTAGCGTGGTTACTTCGTAGTGCCGGCTTGTGGCTCGCGTTCCCCCACCGATTAAGTGCAATTTTATCTCCGAAGTCTCTTTCGAACGATTCTCCCTCTATTGCCGCCGAAACAAATCGACATATCTGTGTACGCAACTGGAATTTTATTTATTTACAAGTAGAGAAGCTTGGAATCTGTCGACTATTCAAGCCTCATTTTCGACAGGTCGATTCACGTGGAATATTTATTCGCGAGCGACGTGCACACCGCGGAATGCGAGCGGACGATGGGGTTCTCACAATTGCGCGGTGGGTAATTTATCGTGCACCGTTAATGAATCGTTCGGCGGGTTTGCGAAGTTACGGAACCGGTGAGCGAACGGGAACGATTAGATATTGAGCGCGGTCCGGGAGGAAGAAAGAGAGAGAGATAGAGAGAAGACCGAAACGAATCGCGCTTAGGCACACAATACGATCGCGGACGTCGGCGAACCGGTCCGGCAATTACGCGGAAGATCGATTATCGTCCGTTAATAGACTCTTTGCGAGCACTGCGCGGTGCCTCGCGACGGGAACTTCATAACTTCCTATAATAATTGCCACGCGCACGCGAAACGCTCACGGCGGCGCAGCGAGGCCAGACTCGCATCCACGTATTTCGGGATCGGAAACGAGAACTTTCAAATGCGTCTCACCCGAAAGTCGTGACGGTAATTATACACGTTATCTTACGAGCACGAGGAGGCCGTTGATTTCCTCATTTTTGTTTCGTTCATTTCATAATCGACGTATAACGTACGAGGCAAGTAGACAGTTCGCAACAAAACGTCACCCTTTCGAGAGCCCACACGAAATGACCATTTTGTCTGCTTGCGCAAGCAGATAAGTGGATTCGGCCCTGTACGAACTCGCGTGCTCTCTCTCTCTCTCTCTCTCTCTCTCTCTCTCTCTCTCTCTCTCTCGTCTTTCGCCGGTCAAAGAACTGTATTACCCGCATACATTTCACCGGGGTATCCCCGCGACTTGCGTGCCAGCGATTAACGAGTCAGTTCTCTGATGAACATTGAGAAAAAGGCTCGTTTCGCGCTGGAAAAGTTTCGCTGTGTGGCTGGTAGTGCGCGAGTGAGTGGCTTCGCATTATCCCGAGGTCGTTTCTTCATCGGACGCGTCCCGGCGGGTCGCCATGTCGAACTGTCTTCTACTTGCATATTTCTTCGGACGTTACGAGACGAAAAGAATCATAAGATCGGCCAAGCAAGAGCACATTTCGCTCTGACCAACAAATATGCTCGCGTCATCCCCCTTTTTTCTTCGGAACTTTCGGTGCTGATTTTCGTCATTTTCTGCAGCTGCTCGCAAGAGCATCGCATTGTCACGTTTCCAGTTCCGTCGACAATTTTCTAGATCGTCCGACGGAGGCACGAGAGTCTGATTTTCGCAACGGCGCGTTGCGTCACTGTCGCGCCGCGCGAAAGCCCGCATACCAGATGCGTCGCGCCGAGTCATCTGCGATTTACAGCGATAACTTTTGCAGCCGGACAATTTGTACTTGTTGTGCTACGATGGCGACGGCTGCGGCGGCCGCTGCATCGTCCAGTACCAGTCGCGACGACCGGATGGGACAGTAGGAGCGGCGGTGCCTCGCGATGGCGCGAGAGGTCGAGGACGCGGAGGATGAGTCTGTACTCTCGAAATTTTCTGGGGTGGAATCTAACCCGAAAAGCGGGTAAAAAATGCTGGTACTTTTGCACTCACGCAGCGATATTGAAAATACCGCTATTCGAAATCACAAGAATGAACTTTTCGTTCAAGTTTATACACAGAAATCTACATACTGCGTTCAAGTAAATGTTACTTTTTCAAGTATTTCTGAAGTTTATAGATCCGCAAATCTATCACAAGTCGATTATAAGCACCAAATGTATTCTAAATACATTCTGAATCCTAGTAAGTTTAGCATTCCAATCAAGAATAGCAAACCAAATACATTAGCAAATATTGCATTCAATTAGGGTGAATATGTGACGATGAAATACATTAGACTCACTCTTCAATTTTGAATAAAAATTTATTCGATGATTCAGAGCGGAGAATTCACTTTATATGAGTGAAAAATCACTTGAATTCGAACATCTCAATGGCCACTTTTCGAGTGAAATTTTACATTAGATTCCAAAAGAATCGATATTCGTGGGAAAAGGACGAAATCCGTTCGCGCTTCCTAACACTTCTCAATAAGAGAGGAAAGACTGAAACGACTCTTATCCTTCGAAAATCCCTAGCGCAATGTATTCTTCGACAGATAAAAATTGAAACGAAGCATCGGCGTAAGCAACGTGATTACGATTACATCGGTAAGTTCCTAAGAGCCAACGCCGACACCTGCTACTCCGGCTGTAACAATTAAGTAAATAAATTCGCTACTTTGATCTGAACGCGGCTTAAGAGAACGTTAAAGAGGAAGGGGGAAGGGAGCAAGGAGCCGAAGGAGAAGGTTCGCGCGCCATTCTTAAAGGCAGAGGCGCGAGCATGCTGAGAGCCTTCCGAGGCACCGTATTTTATAACCGGTGTAGACAGCCACCGCACATACAGGCGGTCCTCTCCTTTCCTCTCCTCTCCTCTCCTCTCTTCTCTTCTCTCGGGCCTCTCTTCTGCTGGTGCGTACCACGTAGCGAGACCCGCGCCTGTTCTCTTCGCGGTCCTGGCGAACGAACCAACGAACGAATGAACGCGAAGCCCCAACTGACAACGAGCGCGATACTCCGACCACCACGACGACGGAGATGGTTTCCGATCGTCTTTCACCTCCTCTTTCTCTCTTCACGTATAACGAGGTGGAAAGAGGACAGTACGCGGGAAGGGTTTCGATGCGTAAGACACGCGAGGGGGGAAGAGACTTCCAGCGCGTTGCGCGCACTTTAATACGATTATCTGATCGTGGACGGACATTCAGATTATTTATATTACACGCCTGTACTTGCGGCCGCTGGAAGATTTAAGGCCACTTTAAACGATTGTAAAATGCGTACGCAAGGTGTATGCACAGGAGGCTATGACTCCCGCCCCCTCCCTTTGTTAAATATTGGAAGCGACGTCGCGTATTGTGAGCGATACGGTACACAGTGAGTTAACTCTTGATTTACGGACGGTGTCGTCAACGTTAGTTTCATTTTAATCTCAGGACAACTTTCCTTTAACCGATCCTTCTTCGTCTCTCCGTCAGTTAGAGCCAAGTAGAGAAAAAAGCCAAGTAGAGAAAAAAGGAATCCTTTTAATCTTTTCGAGAGTTGGCCGCCACTATGCTACCGCTGCTTAGAAAGCGGACCTTATTATGTATGGCACGCATACTTTATCAGCGCAAATAGATCTTTTTGTCAGGTAGTATTTTAAAATTGTTTCAATTGTCATTAGATGAACGCTACCAAATAGTTCTTTCGTAGTTAAATGTTGATACAGCAGCTATATAAAGGCGCATTTTCGAAGCAAAGCCAAGACCATGCTTCGCAGGATCACTTCTGTAGTTGCAGTTCTTCTATCTCTTCCCTAACACGGAAGTAGGTTCAGCCATGATGAGGAGCAAAAACTTCCTCTCTTGGGCGTGAGGACGACATGAATTCCCCGACTCGCTTCGAGAATTCTGTCATCGATGATCGTTCAATCTTTGTATTCTGTACAAAGAAAAGGGAGAGGAAGTATTCTGAGTAGCTCTTTTGTAAAACTCTGAAACAAAAATTGAAACTGTGCAACAAAAATTCTCACCAGAGTTCTCAATCTTTAAATGAAAAAGGATATGTTGTGAAAGATCAGGGGGAAGTTTGAACTTTGCAAGTAAATTTTTAGTTAAAATTGTTAAACTACAAACAGAGTAAAATGTCGATTACAATATTTTTTATATTAACAAATTATAAAATATTTATCCTTAAAGCCCTTGAGTGTACTCGCGTGGACTGTCCTTGTTTGATGACGATCAAAAGCGAGAAATCGTATGCTCACGATTCTTGCATTATACGTTGAAATAAAAAAAATATTCATACAAACATTTGTAATCAATTCAGCAAATTTGAAAAATTATCCGAATGCTGTCTTTTTACTGTAAAAATCAATAAATAACTAAAATTAGTGTGACATACAATTCAGGTTTTAACCAAATTCTTCTCACCATTTCTGTTATGTTAATTTTATGACTATTTTATTAATCGTGACAGCAATCATCAAACAAGGACAGCCGACAGCCCAGGGGCTTTAATTTTCCTTGCGTCTTTGTAGTAATATTGAGATTGGGTATAAAACTTGAAGAGGGTCAGGTATAACTTCACCTACTTCACACACTTGCGTCTTAGGTGATAAAAAAGATATGTAACTTTTTAAAGCGCGCTTGAACGTGAAGGAATTTATAACGATACAACGTTATTACGTAAAGAATTTAAGCGTGAAGTTCAAGCGGAGAGGTTTGGAAAAAACGTCATTTCGATCATTCGCTCGAGAAATCTAAGCGGTTTTCTCTCGAAGCGAACAAAGCGCATTGCTGTGTACGTCTGTATGTGTTTGTGTGTTCGATCTCGTAGCTACGGTGCCGGTCCGTCTTACCGAAGGGAATCCGCATCGGATTGTATTCCGCATACACACCGATTGAAATCGATATTCCTCGCAAGGTCGGGCCGCAACAAAACAAGCGGAACAATGCATCACGCGGTGTACTCTCGCTCTCTCGAGCGGTGGAATAGCAGGTAAAGCTGCTCGCGATTTAATACACCCTGCGATCTCGTGTACCGCGGCGCGCTTATATTGTTGCTCTCTTCCCCGAGTTCTCCTTTCTCCGGATAGCGGAGAGAGCATCCTCAGGAATCCTTTGCGGAATATACGTCGTCGGGAGAGGGGATAAAAACATGAAAAATCTCTTGAAAAGCAATTTTCCCTTAACTGATTCTTCTTCGTCTTTCCTTCAGTTAGAGCTATGTAAAAAAAGGAATCTTTTAACTTTTATCCTTTAAAAAAATAAACCTGAGTGGCTTTTTTATAAAACTCTTAAGAACAACAAAAATTTTGTCTTCTCACGAGAATTTTTGATCTTTAAATGAAAGGGGTAAGTTGTGGAAAATCGAAGGGGAGCTCGTACTTTGCAAATAGATTTCTGATTAGAATTGCGGAAGCAAACAGATAAAATGTTTGCAATCCTATATAAGATTCTGTAAAACAACGAGTCTTAATGATGTGGTCATATAGTCCGGTAGGAGGTGATGAAAGAAACGCAAAGAAAGGGCTCACAAAGTGGTAGCGCAAGTAGAGACAGACTAAAGTCAAGTGCCGTAGTCGGGCGCGTTATCGCGTATATCGTTTGGAAAGGAGGCTCTGGTGTGTGGGACCAAATCAGTTGGATATATCAGCACCGATACTGCATGGCAGTAATTCATTAGCATGATTGTCTGGGTGGAGCAGCGAAGCGGCGGAGTTCTTTCTACCTCGACATTACCGTCGCTTTGTCTTACGCTCTTGTACGGTTTTGTTGCTTTCTCTTTCTTTTTTTCTCTCATCGGAAAGAAGAAGCAGTCGATGTCGAGGTTCTACCTCCCGCACCTCGTTTTGAGAGGAGGTCCCATGCATGGCTCAACAAATTTCCCTCCTTCCGCACCAACTCGCCCCTTTACTTCTCGTTCGCTTCCCTCCCGAGTCGGCGACGTGCCCGGCGCGCCGCTTCAAGGTGGCAACAGTGTTGGCGGGAAAGTTATTCGACCGCTTGCCACTAAATCATTCCTCGCGGACTCCTGCTTTATTATCCTCCGTCCTGCCTCCACCCGTAGCAACGGCGTTGGCTTTTTGTCTCTTTCTCTTTCTCTCTACTCCTCTCTCGCTTTCTTCACCTCCTTTCGCGATGGCCGTGCGCCTCTTCCTTTCAGGGCCCTTCTGTTAGTATGTCGGATAGATGCGTTAACCGCCCTGGAAAAATCGCGATGGATATTATAACGCGCGGGGATGTTGTTGCAAATTAGGCTTCCATTATGGTAATTCTCACACGCGCTCGGGACAGCGGCTTTAAATCGACTGCGAAGCGCTCTTTGAAGATATTAATAACACCAGTTTATTAACGCACGACGCGTATCATGGGAGACGAGTGGTAACATTTTATAATTGTCGCGTGTTTCTACGGCGTACTGCCACGATTGGCCGATAAATATACCGGTAAAATATACACACGTGTGTACCGGCTAATACAACATAATACGTCCACGTTATAATCTCGTTGTTTCTCATTATAACCGCTCGTTTCGCGGCGTATCTTATCAGATCGGCCGTGGTAATGACAAACGCGGACGAGTTATCGACTTTCAGGAGCCCTATTCTAGTCCGCCTATGCGATCCGTTAGCGCGCGATCCGCCTACGTGGAAAGGAATATTTTCTCCGCGCGAACCGCCCCGACCTCCTTAATTGTAGCTCAAGATTGCAATCTTGTTCTTTCGACGCGCCCTCCCTACGATTCTCACGACTCGTACATTGTTTCCGAGTAGAGAATATTATTGCCTGGCAGATAGCAAATTTAATTTCTTCCCGCGCGTTCTTACCTCCTCATTCAAAACCGTCATCAGGCATGCAATTAATCGCGAAAAGCTTTACGAAGAAAAAAAATGTTGCGGCACGGTATAGGGGGGAGGAAGAAGAAAGGGGAGAAAAAAAATGCGGATGGAGAACTTTATTGTGCGGTGTATTCTGCTCGCTCGCGTAACCGCTTAATCCACCACGAAATGCAGCCACGTTCCTCTACGGGGAGATAAACGCGTGAGAGTGACTCGCACGTTAATCATTGTTCTCGTTGTAGTTTCGCGAACGATCGGACCGTCGGTCTTATCGCGACAAATCAGGCGGCCGCGTCGTAACGAAGTAATCGATCATCGGCGCGCACGATTGCGATCAGGTCCCGCGATTCCACGTTCCCGTTCAACACATGGGCGGAACAGTTCCCTCCTGAGCGCTCTCGGATCACGGCTAGATGGCCGGCGCGATACCTCGAACGCGAGAAGAAACTTTAAACTGTCATTAAGGCAACTCTGCCTGGGTTAAGGGGTTCATTACCGGTCGGGACTCGCGTCTCAGTTTCTTCTGCGTCGAGTTCCCGACGACTGGCGCGCGAGACGACTACCACTATGCCCTGCAAATTACGTCTCGTGCCGGTAAACTTACGAGTGCCTTCCCTGTCTCGTTTTCTCTCCCCGTCGCCTTAATCCGCGTTCGACGGATTGCGCCGGCAATTACCGGATCGGTCGATCGATCGTAATCTGTCGATCGGATAGCGCATTATCGATATTCGTAGTGCGCGAGAAAATTAAAAATCGCTCGAGCTCGCGCGTTGTGTTCCGACGTACGATAAATCACTGAGCGCGAAACATTATCGCGTCGTCCCGAAGATAAAAAGGGCGACCTGTTCGTCAGCGTTAACGTGTCCATCATCATTTTTACGCTGAACGTTCTCGACTTCCAGGACAGACCAGCGTGAAAAAAATTTCTTGGGATCCAGTCCGACTCTCGAAAATAATTATGGGTTATGTGGTTAGAAGTGTAGTGTTTCAAACATGCAGTTCTAAAGTGGAAAACTCAAAGTTTCCCAAATATTTCTTCTAGTCTTTATATTAAAGTTGAACAAAATATAAAAGTAAGATTCCGTGCATGGAGAGAAAATATAGTTTTTCTTTTATAAAAATTTTCAATTTTCAATTTTCAATTTTCAATTGAAAAATTTTCAATTTTCAACTGTTTCTAGTAACGCAGAAATAGATCGTCAGTAAGATCACTCTAAGGAATAGTAAATGTCGCTACAAATATAGCAACTTTTTAATAACACATTTCAGTTCCTGAAATGTAAGTAGTACGTATGAAATGAAAGACTGTACAATACAGAATGGCGATCTATTTCGCGATTACAAAATTCTAATAATTACTACGGACTTTTGTCGTGTGTGTTTGATACTATAAAAAATATATATAGAAGTTATTAATGTTAAGAGAAAAAGCACAAATTCCTATAGTATATCTGTTTCGATTCTAGATAGAGAAACTATGTTTAAGATAAGAATGTGTTTCCCAATTGATATCATAGAATGAGATAAATAATTTTGGGACAAATTTGAACATTCTAATCGGAAACTGAGAAGAAAATATTTGATAACTCATTTATAGAATATAAAATTTATTTCCATGAAACAAAGTTTATTTGTATAAAATAAGCTTTATTTTTGTAAATAAATCTCATATGGCACAAATAAATGTTCAAGTAATTTTTTCTCAGTGTGCACGTGGGAAAATGTTGAGAAATTTCTACCTTGATTTCTACGTTCAGAATTCTTAAATACACTCGAGGCGTACGCTGTCGCAGGGCAAAAATTGTGTCTAACTTTGCAATTGAGAACTCAAGCTTTTGCTCCTCGAGACGATCCTCGGAGCTGGAGACAACTGGGACCGAATGCAGAGTTGGCCGGTGAAAATAGTCCTCGGACAAGGCGTCTTGGCGTGGAAAAAATGGGGAGGCATTTTCGCTAACGACCATACGAAATCTCGTAACTTGTATTACATCGGAGGTATGGGGATGGGGTATGAATCGTCGCATAAATCACACTCGCTGGGAGCACCGAGGCGTCCATCACCGCCCCCACGTCCGTCCGTCCGTCGCGGTAACGTCTTCGGGTCCTCCTCCGGGAGGGCAAGGAAAGGCTCGCTCGCAAATTAGTCACTGGGCCCAGATTACGAATGGACCACCTCCCCGGCGATCCGCGGGTATCCCGTTTCAGGAACGCCGGGCGAAATTAAACAAAGTGCTTCGCCCGGGTAGATTCCGCCTTCGGGGAGGCGCGACGACATCGCGCCCTTCGTCATCCGCGTGTCGTTTTATTGCCGCGCAAAAAGAAGCGGGGGACAGACAAATGGAATCGATAAATTTCAACGGCCGGTTAATCCATCGCGGCACCGCGGGACAAGCTTCCAGGGAGACGCCACCGGACTTGACTTGGTTTTTCGTCGCGTTGAACCTCGACTGCGTTATTATTTATTTTATCAGCGGATCTTTTCGTCACTCGTCGCGTTGCACATTAGCGCGTTAGATTATTGTTTCACTCGAGAGCGCTCCTCTGATCTCGTTCACTTGACCCGGTGTCCTTGTCAACGCTCCTCTCCTGACGATTCCGCGATACGACCTCGATCCACTTACCGCCGCGCGGCCGCTATTATCATAATTATGAAAATCATTTGCATCTCTGGGGTGCGCGCCCAACGATTCAATCGTCAAGACGAAGGACACGGGTAAGGAACCGCATTCCACGAAGCGGTGAGCCACGGTGCCCGATGTTTTTTTTTAAGATCGCGCCACTTAATGAAACGAAGATACACTGCGAAATTGGTTTCGCGGGACCCGTGCGAGAGAGAGAACGTGTCTCGATCGAGCGTCCCTACATCGAGCCACTCTGTTTTATTGCGCCGCTGACCTTGATTTATCTTTGTTGCAGGTGCAAGCCACCGATCCCGATTGCGGCGTAAACGCGATGGTCAATTATACCTTGGGCAGCGATGGGCTGGAGAGTGAGCAGCTCCTGGTGCACAGTGAAACAGGCGATATTTGTGTCCGGTCACCGTTGGACAGGGAAGTAGCGCCCTACCTGGAGCTACCCGTCATCGCCACCGACAGAGGTATGTGTCACTTATTTTTACCGCGTGCCTATATTAACATATCAGTTAACGCGTTTCATTTGGGAGAAACTCCTTTCACTCTTAATTTAATATTCTTCGTTAAAAATGAAACTTACTAGAATTCAGAATATATTTTAAATAAATTTGATTCTTACGACGAACTTACGATAGATTTGCAGATATATAAACTTATGAAATGCAACATTTGTTTAAATGTAGTATGTATTTTTCTGTTTATAACGAACATATTAAATTTCTAATCATCTCATTTTATCCCCAAATGTAACGCTGCGATGTATGACTGCGAATGTCCTGGCCTTCGATGCTTGCTCCTAAACGCTCGACGACGCCTGTTGCAATCCGAGATAGCCGCGTGCGACGATTGGGTCGGATCGCGAAATCTCTCGTAGGATCGCGATCTTTCGTCTCGATGTAGAAACAATGCCCGGTATTGCTGTTGGCGTCCGTGTGAGGCCCGGTCTGCGCGCACACGACGTCGATAAAGGGGACGAGACAAGTAGAAACGAGCAGAAACGGCGGGCGCGGAGACACGCGCGCAGAAACGCGGCTCGGAAACGGGAAGAAGAACGAGGTAGAAGTGGCGCGACGTCGTTGAGAAAGAGAAAGAGAGAGAGAGAGAGAGAGAGAGAGAGAGAGAGAGAGAGAGGCAAAAAGGGAAAGAGAGAGAGGAAGAAGAGGTGGCCCGTTGGCTATCGGCTCGTCGAGATCTAGTAGCTCTGTAATAGGGTGTATGATTTATGTCGCTGGTGGGTTCGCGGCCATTTTCAACGCGGCGGTCGGCAGCGGCGGCGCGGTCGCCTTATGGGAAAGGACAATGACTGAAGCTCCATTGATCCATCGTGGGGCGGTCTGGGCTACCGTGCAGCCGGCGGTCATTGCGTTCACCGATCGTCGTGTCTCCCGAGGTGTTCCACGGAGCGCGGCGCTCCAAGGAAGAAGGTGAGAAGGAGGCAGGCTGGTATCCGAGAAAGAAAGTTCACCCGCCGGCGCGGTAGACGGTGGTGAAAAAGCAGGGGCGCCGCCGAGGAGAGGTGGATCGGGGGCAGCACGGGAGAGCGCGTAGCTATTGTTGGCATATCACGCTGTTTTGCAAACAGGCGCGAACGTGTCCCGTAATTGTCGCTCGTTATCGATACGATTGTCCCGCAGTGCACCGGCAGCAACGGCGCGACACTGCGAGTTACAATAGAAAACCGGCCGGATATGACGGCCGCGACGTGATTTATACCGCTTGCTGACGAGCGCGACGAGCGCGCTCCGTAGCGCGCGAGCAATGTACTGCCGGTCCCTTGCGCAAATAAGTGCTTTTAAGTGTATGCATTATAATAACAGAGTTGCATAAATCTCCACCTGGCACGAGACAGAGCCTTGAACGTGTGCGGAGGTTCGCCCGAAAGTATTCCAGCGGCTGTTAAGGCTCGTCTACGATATGCGGAGTGAGTTGGCGTAAGGGAGGTGGATTGAGAAATAAAAATAATTGATTTCGCTTACGCACCTGTGCTCTAGCCTCTTTATACCGGAAATATTTCTTTTGCTTAAGAAAAATACTTCTGATGTAAGGGAGTTAAAGGATAAATATATATGTAAACGAAATCGATTATTTTTATTTTTATCAAAACGCCAAGCTTACTCCACGTATTGTAGACAAGCCTTATACTTGTAAGCTGAATTCGTACGTTTCGCGAAGCACGCAGTTTTTGTGTGTGTATGCGTGTGTGGCGAAACAAATGTTTTTAAATATGGCTGAATAATTTTTGCCGTTTTCTGGGGATATATCAAGCTCTTTTTCAGGATAACTCCAGTTAGATTTGTAGCAAAGTTGCACGCGTCTCTGTCGTGGTATGCGGTTGCAAGGTGCGAGATCAAATGGAGAGAATATATCTTCCGATAACTATCGTTTGAGCGTTACCAACGATAACCCCGCGGCGGCCGGCGATCTGTCGCGCTAATGATCATGAATTATTTGTGCGTGCGCGAATAGCTCAACGCGGGACTGTATCCGCGGGAACAAACGGGTGGCGAAAGAGCGCGGCGGCGGTGGCGGCGGCGGCGGTTCGAGCAGAAGGGGCACCGGTATGCACAGCGTGCCATGTTGAAATGGAAGTGAAATTTATATTTGATAAGAAATCGAAAAGAGAGACGCACGGAACAACACCATCGCCGACCGGCGTCGCAGGATCCTGCGCCGGCGATAGAAAAGTCTCGTCCTCCCTAACGAAGCGCGCGCGCCACTGGCATCACGCGGTATATTACATCTCAATCAAAGTCCAGCGCGGCGCGGAAATGATTACAAATACCTTCCGGCGATTTGCACGTCCTCGCGTCGAAAACTTCCTCGTAGCGGCGCGCACACTCGGCGACTCATTAATCCTCCTCCTTGCCTGTCATTTTTACACCGGCGATTAATTCTTCTTATTGCCTACCCGTAATTCGCACGGAGAAAATCATTTCGGCCGCGACGGCAGTAAAGCGAATCGCGAGCCACCGTGAACCACGCGGGCCAGGTGTGCATGATTTATACCACCGGCTGACGTCCGCGCGTACGACGGCAGAGAGCCGCCTCCATCCTCTCGTGGCGCGACGCGCCGCTAGGGCCTCGCGAAAGGCTACGTATTCGTCGTTTCGATATTTATCGGCGAGAGATAACTCGCCGCTCGTTCTATCTCGCGCTAATAGCATTGGATAACGCGGTCCGCGCGACCACGACGATAATTATTACTTACGAGCTACGGATCGAGAGAGACTGAGAAGATACCTGGACACGCATCTCACGAGCGGGACCAACTTCCTTGAGCGAATCATTTCGCTCGGCCGAGCAGACGCGGGACGCCGGCCCCTTGAGGGTTGTCCTATTAGGGTGACCAACTAACTGTTTAATCTATCTTTGTTTTTCTTTCAAGATAAACAAAGACAGACATGTTATTTAAGTGTTAGTTAACTTATCACTCGATTGACTCTTGGTCAGTTAATTTCGGAATATCGACCTGAAAAATCGGGACACAAGGAAAAAAATCAGCATTTTATCATCGTATAGTATATCGGATTACAAAATATCTTGTAAAATATATTAACGTATATATATATATATTTTTTTTTTATTATATTATACACGTATAGATATATTTTGACATATTAATTTTTAAAAAAAGTAAATAAGTTAGATCCCTTTAAGTAGATTTCTTTAGGTAGTAAAATGTTTATTTATTGTTAGGTCAACATTAAATAATTAACAGACGCAGCTTTCTATTACATTTTTTAATATAAATCATTATTTTAAAATTAAATAAAATTCTTAAAATAAAATTAAAGAACAATCATCAACAGTACATAAAAGCGATGAAAAATAATATACATTTTTTCTCATCACACAGATAACACGTCATGATAAAATTTTATATTATTTATTTTACGTTATGTAATAAACCGGGGCAAATATCGTGGCGTCTAAAGTTCTTTCGAAACGCTTCTATAGAGAGCCGAAAATCGGGATGTCCAAAATTCTCTGGACGGTTGGTCACCTTAATTGCTGTGCACGAGCAGAAGGACGATGAGAAGGTAGCGGGAAATAACGCTTGGATAACTCGGTAGATAATAAATTTAAAGCGATACTTTGTTGATTGTTCTCGCCAGCTGTGAACACCGAGGAAAGGAACTCGTGTCGGCATGCGTGGAAATCTACCGAGCCCGCATCGGAAACGTGAGAAAATACGAGAGAGAAAGAGAGAGCGAACGCGATTATACCAGCGATTAACTTAATCGTCGCAAAATATAGAAAAAGGAAATACATGAATTACATTGTAAGCATGCGAATACGTAATCATAGCCCGCGAAGAGCATTCAACGCATTGGCGATACGATGTGATTGACGATATACGGCGTGTATAGCGCAAACTGAATTTTCTGTCAACGAGAGAGCGGCCTTTGAAACAAGTGAAATGGAGAGGGTGGAAGGAAGGTCGAGGAATTTTCAACGTTGCCGGTTTCGATTACACACGAGCGTGCGATATCTTAATGTAATTTCTACGCTAATCCTTACCGATGGTAAGGATCTCTCTCCTCTCCGCTGAAGGTATATACACACACATATATATATATATATATCCTATCCCGCCAACGGGATAGATTTTATCGCGGATCTTCGATTTATCGTCATGTTGACGGAAAGAAATCGACGGAGATGCTATCTTTTTTCACGAAATTATACATCGCGCGTTCGCGCCGCAGACGTGCCGCGCAGGTACGGAAATGTAAAGAAAGGCGCGTCCGCGCGCGGGGATGCACCGACTACCCCGCGGTGCGCGCTTCGGAACTACGCCGGAGGTGACTTTATTGGCACCGGCATCGTAAATCACCGGGGCTTAACTCCCACCGACTGTCATTGTCCGCGCCGTTTTCGCGCTTATTTATTTCCCTTTCTCGACTCCGCGTGATACCGCACATAATCTCGGATATGTCACCGGCCGACCTCTCAGTTCGCACATTGTAGCGGAACTCCGGAATTAGCGTGCGCATTTGCACGCGGCATATTAATGGAACCGCTCGTTTTGCCCGCGAGTGAAAAGAGAGAATCATACGGCGGATTCATGCCGAGACAAGTGCTCGTGCCGCTTGACTCCGCGCGAATGATTCACGGCAATATGGTTTTTTCGACCTTGCACCGATTACAAAAGCCGAGATTAAGGCGATCTCGACGGAACTCGCGAGACTCATGTTGCGCGGAAATATTCGGTGAAATTATTCCCCCGCGAATTTCAGTGCGCGCGTACGAGATCCCATAGCGTACCCTGTGGAATTCAGCTGTTACGCGCTCAAAACAATGTTCTGTTGGTCCAGGTCAAATGTCACGATTGAAATTTATCGCTGTTTCTCGTATCTGCTAAAGAATTGTCTGTGATACGTAGAATTTATAGCAGCAGCACTCCAGTAATATTAGTAAGCAAATTTTGAGTGGGTGCGAGATATTAATTTATACATTCGTTTGTCTTTCGTCGCTAGTCTTTTTGTCTACTACAGTTCATTTTTATAAGAAGTATGATTAGCTTTTGGATGGGCGTCAGAAAGAGGGAGACTTTCTTGTTAAATTTCACGAATAATTTAGACAGCAATTCTACCTCTGTCGTCTACATTCATTAAGTATAAACATCGCAGCGTTTGCTAGTTATTTACCCACTTTAGTTAATTTATCGTATTTAGACGACTTTCACTATGTGACTACAAGATCATTTTTTTGAGTACAATTTTACTACGAAGTTGAGAACCGCCGCACCTACCGGCCGCATAAATCTCTCTCTCTCTCTCGGAACCCTCGTATCCCCCGCCGCACGAATCTCGAAAAGGACTCATCCCGGCGATCGACCGCGTGAAATTAAAAGGGCCGGACTGCCAGGCACAAAATATCAGGCCGCACATTAAAATGCCGTTGAACTATCCCCAGGAAGTCGGCGTAATCCGTGTACGCGTACCAGGGGCGCGTTCTCCGTCTTCCGTACTGGACGCGGGGAGCGCCTAATCGATTTTTCAGCCAGCGTAGAAGAAAAAGAGAAAAGAAACAAGAAGAAGGAGACAGAGAGAGAAAGAGAGAAAGAGAGAGGGAGGGAGGGAAAGAAAGAAAGGAAAAGCGTTATAAGCGCGATATGATCTATGGAAAGCCGTGTGGTCGTGTCGACAATTAGAAATTGATCTTCATTAGGAACACGACAAGCTTTTTCAATAAGTTTCAAGAAGCGACCGAATGTCCTGCGTGGTCTTCGAGATCGGTGCCTCGATATCTCGATGTTCCACGGACGTCGCCACGGTGTCCGGCCAAGCAAAGGTTCCGTCCATCCGCGCAACGAAGAGAAGAAGGGACCACAGCGGTGGCACAGGGGATCGGGGGACCATCCCCCTTGACGCATGACTCCAATGACACTCGCACCTATAAATCTCCTCGTGCTCGGAGCTCTGCGCGGCCGAGTCCATACATTACTATGAGTTACGGTTGTAAACCGTTTAAACATCGGATTACCCGTTTTACATACTGTCTCTGATATTAACACTTGCGTCGCGCCTCGTCTAAATCTGTGCCGGTAAGCAGAAGCTCGCGGTCTGTCCTGTCACTTCTGATCTTTCGCTGTGCTCGCCGGCATTATTCTCCCTCTCTCTCTCTCTCTCTTTCTCTCTCTTAGAATTGCGCACGCACTCGAGAAGATAGTGGTCTCGGTAATCTCTGATTAATTTCGAACGCGGGACGTACAACATAGTTTGGTGCGATTCGCTATGTGCCTTTGACAAAGTGAGGCTCTCTTGGTTTTACCTCTGCGCGATTAAACTACTGCTCGTAGAACAAACACATTTAACGCCGCGTGCAGAATACGAAGACAGATCGAAGCTGCGAGAAAGAGAGAGAGAGAGAGAAAGAGAGGAGCGATAATCGCTCGGTCGCGTGGTCTTTTCTGCGGAACGCAGTAATCATCATCGATCGTACTTACCGGTCCTGCGCGCACGCACTTGGCCAGTCGGCCGATCGATCCTGTCAGCGGCGCGATTACTCGCGAGAGGTCTTGTTGCCCAAAAGAGCACGGCCGTTAAGACACTGCGAGAATGCGGCCGTTTGGGGACCTGGAAAGCTTCTCGCGTTTGAAATATTACTACGAGCAGCACATTACCCCGCGCACGCGGGTAAGAAGAGTCCACGTCGACGCACACGTGCTCGCGTGAGCTCGAATAAAACTCCTCCAAGGAGAGGACGAGAAAAAGAGAGAGAGAGAGGGAGACGGGATACCGAGCGAGCGTGAAAGAAAAAAGAAAACGGAAAGAAAAAGGGCACGAGAGGGGAGGAAACGAGACAGGACGAAAAACCGAGGAAAGAGAGAGCGAGAGGGACCAGCGGCTGATTGGGTCCGAGAAAAGGCCACGGTACGGGACACCCGTGATTTATGTCGACCGGCTTCGGGCGCGTCCCCGTAGATTCGTTCTCTACGTCGGCTAATACCCCGACATTATTTGGCTCGATAAGAGGATTTCGACCGGGAGTGAAATAAACATAATCGCTCCGCCGCGCACTTCTCGCCTCCGTGTGAGACGCGCGCGTCCAGCGAATCGCCGGTGTGTAATCGGGCTCATGAGCGAGCCCGAATTCTCAGCACTGCCCGAGTCTCTCGAGCTTCTGACGACTGTCCACCGAATAAAATATCGAGTCGTTGACAAACGTGAAGAAAATCATTCAACTGCGTACTTGTTACACCCCATTTGAAACTACCAATTTGATTTTGCGCTTCTCATAATTACTACTTTCTCCGATATGAAACTACGAAAGCAGTAAAAATGGAGGTTTGCAATTTCTTATAAAAATTACTCAAACTTATAACAGAGCGTTTTATACTTTTAGCTCTGAGTAAGAGAGCAAGTAAACATTTTTTCCTTATATCACGTACATTGAGAAAAAAAATATCTAAAAAGGTAAAAAATATTTATTTACATATAAGTCCTTTTATTTAAATAAATAATGGTTGTGCCTTCATGAAGAATTACGGTTTTAAGAAAATGTATATTCCCTTATTTTTTTTATTTCTTCTTCGTGTACAAATATGCATACTATAAATTGCTATAATAAATGTGTCATTAGCACAAATATTAGAATAAGTATTTTTTATTTGTTAGATATTTTCTCTTTCAGAGTGTATTTTTTTCTAAAACTTATCGTCTTGACTGTTCTGATGGAAATTGGTCGTCGGTAGTTCTAGTCTGGATTACACTTATCGTGCGATTCTATAATGGAATACCTGTTTTATTTGCAGGTGGATTAAGCACAATAGCGATCGTACGCATCCAGGTGACGGATGTGAACGACAACCGGCCGATTTTCGAGCCGCGAAAGTACAACGTGACTCTAAGGAGCGACGCGATGTCCGGGCCGATACTCAAGCTGGTAGCAACCGACCTCGATGCCGGTGACTTCGGTCAGGTCACTTATCACATCAGCAGCGGCAACGAAGCCGCAGCCTTTCGCATCGATCGCAGTACCGGCGAGTTGCACGTGGCGAGGCCGAATCTGCTATCTCTTCCGATGTTGCACCAGCTCAACGTGACAGCGACAGATTCGGCCGGCCTGAAGAGCATCGTCGATGCCGAGGTCAAGGTCACCATTGCCTCCGCCAGCCAGAGGATCGCCACCTGCGAGAATCCGCGCTATACCATCACCGTTAAGGAGAATATCCCGCAGAACACCGTCGTCGGCGGCGTGAAGGATACCACGACGGCGTCATCCTCCTCGACAGGTACGTCAATTCGCTTTTATGCGCGCCTTTTCATTGGTCGTTGCGTCTCGCAACGCGTCATCCCTCGTCGGACGCGTGCCAAGGAATCACTATGACTCGATGAATAACCGACACTTTTCTAACCGGCCGCGGTAATTTTATATTTAGAAATTCACCAATGGTCGGACTGACGCTATTTTTTCTTTTTGGCAAGTCACTTTCGCGTGTTGAATCAGCGATATACATTGCGCACTTCTTTATTGCTCCGCAGGGTATCGATCATGGGCTCCATTCTGGACGCATAACGAACCTTAAGTATGCTCTTTTGATTTCAAGTTTCATTTTACTTATACAAGCGTCACGTGTAACGTTGTCTCAGCTTGGCAATCAGAAAGGCGTATTTAGCGTTCGATGCATTCAAAATACGACCTCTAGAGTTTTATTCTAGACGTATAGTGAATGCTAAATATATGCTTTTCTAGTCTCAAATTCCGTTTTGTTACGTGAAAGCATCACGCGTATAACTTATTTTTAGTTTGGAAATTACAAAAATAATAAAATATTTAATGCTCGATATATGAAGCCCCATACATCTTTATATCTCTAACTTAAAATCGTTAAAAGTGAAAAGTTTCACTGACGAATATAGTTTTCGCTTTTCACGAATTTACACGAGAAAAGAAGATGCGTGATCGATACTCAGAGGTCAAGCTTAAACCTATAATTTTTTTCCGCACGATAACACGACGACCAGTCATCGATGATGCCGACGCGAGGGAACTCGCGCATCCGAGTTAATCGGATGAGTTTTAGCACGAGGATACGATATTCTCAGAGCGGCAGACTAGCGAATGTATTCGAAAACGTATTCCACGCGCGGCGCTACCGCGTTAGCATAGTCGCGTCACGAGTAAAACGCCGAGGACTTCGCAACAAACGCCCACGTATACACGTGAACGTACGCTCAGGCACGATGCGCGGGCCCTAAAAGCTGAAGCGCATTACGAATGAAGATATCCACTGCGCCTTTTCCTCTTTATACGAGACCGGCGAGGCGCATTCTGATCGTTACGCGACGGGACATCGTCCCGCGCTCGTTTCGCGAGTACACGCAAAGTCCCACGTATTCACACGCTATTTAGAGATACACATAACGTTCTACGCGGCGTCGAATAATGTAGGGACGATATAATATGTCGTACAGAAAATCACAAGATATCAACCAAAAGAGCTGTCTCTCTCTCTCTTTCTCTCTTTCTCTCTCTCTCTCTCTCTCTCTCTCTCTCTCTCTCTCTCTCTGCCATGCACTCAACGGAAGGTAGGTTAGCGGGCAAAGCCGCATCAGCCTGACCAAACAGGTGGTCATCGAAAGCGAGGAAGGGGGGAGAAATAGGATTCGCGCAACGGGAGGAGAAGGAGGGCGAGGGGGCTGAGGTCGCAGCACGAGGAGGCGGAGGCGAGGGAGATTGAGCTCTGGTAAGGTCGCGGACGGGTGGGTGGATTGCTCCATGCCGATATACCGGGACACGGGGTAGAGCAGAGGGCGCGGGGCAAATGAAAGGGCGAGGGGGAGGGAGGAGAGGCACGTATCCGTGTTTCCACACTGGTGGTACATCCGATGCAAGATACGGCGCGTCACGACCCGCGCTCACCGCGCCGTATACCCGATGCACCGTGTAAACTGTCCCGCGCGGTATCGAGCGGCACGGCGCGGTACGTTATATAGGCCCGAGGAGGATACCGGATAGTTTACACGGTGGTGCCTTACCGGTGGTCGTATTGTTCGCCCGGCATGGCCCGCATATGCAGCCTGTTGCATATCAATGCGCGAGGCTCGAGTGTGTACCTCCTTCTCTTCGCCGAGCGACGACGTGGATCTTTCCCTTTCTCTGTCTCTTTCTCTCTCTCTCTCTTGCTTTCTCTTTCTCCCTCTGCTCTTCCCTATCTGCCTTCTTTTCTTTCTCTGTCTCTTCTCCTATTCTTCTTCATCCTCCTCTACCTCTGCGCTTCTTGCTGATCCTTCTCATCCTCGTCTCGACTTGTTGCTCCGTCTCGCTCGTTCTTTTGCTCGGCGCACACCGGCTACGAGTTGAAACGAGGGAAAGGGAGGACCCGTGAACGTAAGCTACGCTATCTGGGGTTAAAAAGTATCCTGACCCCGTGCGACGCACGGCCCCGATTCATGGCAGATTCCCGCAGTCGTCGTCGTCGTCGTTGTTGTCGTTGTGGTACGTCTCCCTCATAGGAACGTTCGGTCGCGATCTACCGTACCAGGAAACGCGTTCCTCGGATTTCTCGCGCTCGTTCCGCAGCAGCGATATGCGTAGATAAATCGTAATTATGATGCAACAGACATGCCAGACGAGTCTCGAAACATCCACACTGCGCGGTATGATCCCGAAATTCATACTTGTCTCGTTTCCACAAATTCAACTTCAGATTCTTCACGCTGCATTCTTACGTCGTCGTTGATTGATGTCGGTTGAGAATCATTTGCCTCTCTATACGCGACAGAAAACGCGCGGAGCATCCTAAGACGCGCGGAAATAAGACGTAATAAAACGCGAGGTGCCCTTCACATGACACGGAACAACGAGTACCGTCTCGTGCGCTGCGCATTCAAAGTTGTCCTTCCGGCATCGGCGCAATCGGCCAGTCGGTTTCAGAACCCGACTTCCAATCGGCCACGCGTCCGGCCGAGAACCAGTTCGCGCAGAAGAACGCAGCCTGACACTCAGGCCCGCAATATTTGACACACGGCAGCCAATCAGATTATCAGATTAAAGTTGAACGGGCCGGCGATCGTTGGCACAGGTGCGTTTCGTCCTGGCTGTGTGAGAAAGAGAGAAAGAGATGGAGCGAAAGAGAGAAAGAGGGGAGGGAGAAAGAGAGAGATAGAAGAATTTCGCGAGCGCGCATTGACGTGCACCAGCGGTCCGTGCTACCATTTTGCGACACCTGTTCCAATAAGCCTGAGCGAATCCCGATGAAGCACGACGAACGAACTCTCTGTCTTACGTTTCGATTAGATCAATTATATTGATCGATCAGCTCTTGCCGAAGAAACAATTGTACGACGATGAAATATTAACGCTACAAAGTGTGATTTTAGTACCGCAAGTTGTACACAAATCCAACGAGAAATTTATCTCATTGTTCTAGTTAGCTTGATTCTAATCAGTCATCTAGTTTGTGTCGGATTCTAATAAGGCTCCTAATTGTTAAAAATTCCTTAATATCGATATAAGATCCTGACTATTACGTTACGTAATGCGCATGACTTATTAAAATACCATTTTACATACTTGACTAAAAATTTATTCCATGGTCTTGATCAGGTTGATTCCAATCGGTTATTTGTCATAGGATGAGGACTCTGATGAGTCAAGTAATACAGCGTAGTAATCAGGATCTTTTTAATAATAAGGATCATTAATAATTGGGATTTTATTAATAAAGGACCCGATATAAAGCAGATGATTGATTGGAATCAATCCTGTGACTAAAACCATGGAATAAATTTCTAGTCAGAACATTCGTTCGTCCAATGTTTTATATCAAGAGTGCCCAATGGGAGGAAGTCCGATCGAATTACGCAGATGACGCGTGTTCGCAGTCACGGTCGTGCCGCGACTCACGGAAGGACTCGTTGCCCGCGGACGTTCCATTATATAAATTAACTTCAAAGTGACCGGCGGGTTTCATTCTTGCGCGACGCGACACTCGTGTGCCGCGGGATGCCCAATCAGATTATCAGATCGAGCCGAACGTTGACATAAGCGAGCATCGGGGAGACAGTGCCGGCTACCATTTTACGACCACCTGTTCCCGTTAAAGCAGACCTTGCGCGAGCGCCCCTCGAATCGCGAAAAACGCGATCGTTAAGAAGCTACGGTCGACGAAAGAGCGATCGTTTCGACGATGCTTCGGAGCTGTTAAAACCGACGTAGACGAACTCCTTATTGGGAAGCAGTCGTTTGGTTTGCGGACAGCCGGCTGCCCGAACCTTCCATAAAACCTGGCGACAAAGTGAGGAACGCGTTTCATTTTACGGCCAAGTTTATGGCACTTGAGGGAGAATCATCGCGCCGTGATCGCGTCGACTAGAGAAGACCGGTCTTATCTTATCCGCGGAACGAGCGGCCGCTCCCAGCCTTACCGAGGTGATCCTTCGTTGAGGGAAGAAGGCGAGAAAGAAAGTATCACAGGAAACATGTGACGTCACAGATTCGAAGGGTGTGAAATCGAGAACGCGACGAGAGTTCAGTTAGCGTGGGAAATTTGGGGGAAAAGATGACGGAAATCACCGATCATCAGAATCGACTCAGATAGACAGATGTACGTAAATTCGGCAGCAAATTTATACAATCTGTAAAGGTTGCGTTTCTTATAAGTAGTTCATATCTTTTCATCACCAAATAATAAAGTAGAAATACAAAAGAAACATGAAAAGAAGTTTTGTTCCAAACATTATATTATATAATAGGAAAGTCTGAGGATAACTCTCTCTTTCTCTCTCTCTCTCTCTCTCTCTCTCTCTCTCTCTCTCTCTCTCTCTCTCT